GTTTAGTTTCACATTTAAAGTACCCTGTAATTAAAATGTTACAATTAGAAATCAGTTCATATTTAAATATTGAATTAAGAATTGAAAGAATTGAATATATCATAGCTTTATTTATGCAATTGTAAATGGAGTATAAATATATTAATGCCAGTTCTGATGCTGCTTCTGTGTCTCCTCTGCACTGCAAAGATGGATTTTGATTTAATATAACTGGTAACAGTGGTATTGTGTTATTATTCTAATATAATTTAATTTGAATGTTAGAATTTGACATAAAAGGTGATGCATACCTCTAAGTAAAAAAAAAAAAAAAAAGTCCATATATGGGTGAAAATGCCCCTGGAACTCAATTTAAGGTTGCAAATATTGCCCTTTAATAAAAAAATGTTAATTCCTTTCACTGCTGTGAACTGACCACTGCATAGAATATGGAAAATATGAATATCTTCGTGAGTCAGCTGTCAACAACAGGCCTAAACCAGCCATGGTACCAGTACACAAACACAATCAGTAAAATATCATCTAATTATCATCAACAAAACTTTGAAAATATTGAGACATTTTTTTTTCAATATTGCGCACCCCTAATGTAAGGTATTAATTTTGATTTCTTCAGGTCTTAAAAAGGTCTTAAAAAGCCTTAAATTTGACTTTAAAAAGTGTGCAGATACCCTGTTTACAGCAAATGAGCATGCATTAAGTTTTTGTGATGATTATCTGGGTCAGTTTATATGAGAAAAAGATGATAAACACACAAAAGCTTTGTTTTATGTTTCATTCAATAACTTTATTGTTACTTTCCCTGTGTAGGGATGTGTTTGAAATGTTTTGAATTGAAATATTCACTGCTTAAATATTCAACCATGCTGAATTTCAGCCCATAGAAATGCAAGCCCTAAAAATACAATGTATTAAAATGCAAGCATGGTTAAAGCTGCAGTAGGGAGTTTTGAGAAAACGTTGACTTAGCCTGAAAATTTGAACAAGCACAACTTACAGGTCCCACCCCCTTGCTCTCTGCTGCGCTACAGCCCTCCCTCCACAGCTCGTCCTCCACAGCGGAGCCCGTCGTGAACGCGCAGGCTAGTAAACAGGGCCACCGATGACGGCGGATAAAAAGTTATATGGCACATTCACTAATAGGGACTAAACGTCAATAATATGCTTTACATTGACCTGCCCATACTTTGACTACAAACTTGGTCCTCAAATCATTATGTATTTTCCAATAGCCTACATGTAATTTTATAACGTTGCACTCTTTCTATAAGTTATAAATAGCTAGTAAGATAACGTTAATATAACAGTAACTAACGTTACAATTACAGTATGTAAGTAATTATTCTAGCGATATATAATGCTAGATAAGGTGTGCTAGTACATTATTTCAGCAACATGACAAGCCAGTGAATTAGCAGGTTTCAATTGTTGCTTAGCAGAGTGCGTGACATTTTATCTACATGTTATGCAGCTAGAGTTTTGACACCGAGTCAACTGTGTAATTCTTTCTTTTTCGCTTGTTTATCGTCATCAGTCTTTTTCCTTTTACCTCTTTGTTTGATGAGCAGGTTTCACTCGAGAATTGGCAGTTTAGGTTGTTTCTCCGTCATAAGCACAGCTGCAGCACGCCGGCAATCTTGAGTTTGAACGACGGCTCGCGCTCCAGCGCTCGCGCTGTGCAAGAGAGGGGTGTGATCAGCGCGTACACGAGCGTGATTGACAGTGCTAAGACACTCCTCCTGGCTCTGATTGGTTGTTTCTGACCGGGAGCGTGTATTTCTTGCAAATGGCAATAGGACCACTGGGAGGAGCCAGAGGAGCTTGATTTTTACACAGATTATCTGTCTCATATTCTACTGTCAGGACATAATGACAGTTTTAGCAAATACATGTTTTCAAAAGTTACCTACAGGAGCTTTAATGCACTGCATATTTTTTTCAAGTAGTGCAATTCAACAGGGTTTTTTGTTTCAAAAACATTTGCCATTATCTTAATTCCATAACAGCGCCATGTTAGGACTTTGGCGGCTTCACTTTTCACCAATGGAAGAGAGTAAAGGGGCGTCGTCCATCTTTTTTTACAGTCTATGATGGCGCTCTATAAATGCCATGAATGATTAGCGACTAGTCGACGTCGTCAGGCTTAAAGCGTCATGGCAGAGCATTAAAGTCGACTAGTCTGTTCAACCCCTAGTACACAACCACCCTATAATAGTAAAAATCCATCCACTCCTCTTTTTTTTTAATCATAAGCAGTGTCTCAGAACAAGCTGTTTGCAGATTGTAATGTCACAATACTAAAATTATGACTTCGATACGATACCGGACTAAAATACCAAGTAATTGAAAAATATGACAGAACTTACAATTCATTGTTTTATAAATTAATTTAAAAAAAACTAAAAACTCACTTGACCAACATGTTCCTGCCCTGCTTTTTGACCATTCCCTCCCATTTATTTAAAAATAATAATAATAATAATTGCATGCCAGTGTGAGCGTCCTTACAGAGATTTTTGCAACAATCACATTATTATCAATCATGTTAACATTTTGCTAACCTTTCACAATTCAAGAGGTTGGGATGATCAAAATCTTATTTCATGATATGAGTCATTTAATATTTTTTAGATGTAATTAAAAATAAGCAAACAATCAAATTACAAACAATATGACAAATACTATAAGAGACAAATAAAATAAATAGTGCTTAATTTCTTTTTTGATTGCTACTGTTAAATACTGTAGCTGAAAAAATAAAGTCTTCGCTCTATTAATTAACTATAGACTGATTCTTAATAAATATATTACATTTAATCAGTCAAGCATTGGGTGATTGTCTTTTTTCTTTTGTACATTAATCACACAGAATATTAGTTAATTATGTCATTAATTACTCATCCTCATGTCGTTCCAAACCCATAAGACTTTCGTTCATCTTCGGAACACAAATATATATATTTTTTTATGAAATCCGATGGGCCGGGGGGGGCTCCAATGACAGCTATTTAATTAACACTTTAAAGGCCCAGAAAGGTAGGAACGACATTGTTAAAATAGTCCATGTTACTACAGTGGTTCAACCTTAATTTTATAAAGCGACGAGAATACTTTTTGTGCACAAAAAAACTAAATAACGGCTTTATTCAACAATTTCTTCTCTCACGTATCAGTCTCCGTGCTGCTCATGCGACGCATGCGCGTGTGGTGATGATGCAGGAGCTGGCGTTCTAACACATGACCAGGAAACGCAGGCTGTTTTTACAAGCAGAGGAAGACGCACGCTCAACATAAAACAGTTTATAACTATGTCTGCAGATTTCGACACAGAGGATGAATTGCATTTTTTTGCACAACCGTACTTATTCGAACCAGAATATACAGAGAACGAACTAAAAGAGATAGAAGAGGCTGCAACTCAACCACAGCCACAAGCTTCTGAAAGACAGAGCAATGGAGAGCTGGTGGTGTAGATCATCAGTGCCAAGCGATGCCTACTGAACAGGAGAGTGTGTGCTGCATCGATTGTGATTTTGTCATGCCGCATCTTGAAAGTTTGGATAATTCAGATGATGAGATGACACATGTATCTCGCTGTATAAGAGAGGATCCCGGCTTTTCACACGCATGCGTCTTGGTGCTCTCGTGAACGCGCATCGGAGACTGATACGGAAGAAAATAAATTGTTGAATAAAGTTGTTATTTCGTTTTTTTTGGCGCACAAAAAGTATTCTCGTCGCTTCATAAAATTAAGGTTGATCCACTGTAGTCACATGGACTATTTTAACAATGTCTTTCCTACCTTTCTGGGCCTTCAAATTAAATGTTATATGTATTTAATGTTAATTAAATAGCTGTCAATGGAGCCCCCCCTGAGCCATCGGATTTCATCAAAAATATCTTAATTTGTGTTCTGAAGATGAAGGTCTTACGGGTTTGGAATGACATGAGGTTGAGAGTAATGACAGAATTTTCATTTTTGAGTGAACCATACCTTTAAGACCTGCACGGACCCAATACATTGGAACACATCCGATTTCTTTTTACAAACTGTTTAAGTTCACTTAAGACATAGCGACTGTGTTTACGTGAATACTCGCCAGGACATGCATTTTAACATATATTTTTGATTATTCAAACCTAATAATCTGCGAAAAAGGACTGAAGTTGCCATCACATGCTGTCTGAAAGGCGTGTGCTGTGCACGCGCTTCAGGTCTGAGCCCGGCAGCGCGAGCACGTCCTGCGCTTTATTTTCTCATGCATGCATGTTTCTTTGTTACTTATTGTCACTTATCACTTGAAAATACACAGGCAAGTGTGCTGAAGCAGGTTGGAAATAAACTTAGCAGGACAGTGGGTCCCCAGGAGCAGGGTTGAAGACCTCTGATCTAGTTAATAGAAGTACTGCATAAATAAACTGATGAACAAATATTTATTACAATATTTACTGAATTCAATCAAAAAGTTATCTATCACATTAATTTAGTTATGTAAACAAAAGTGCATTTAATTTTTTCCCCTGCCCTGCACGTAATGTCTGTTATAGGGACATACATTCCGAAGCATATCAACATCTATTCCAACAGTGAAATGATCAGTTTTAACATCTGGTCACCTTTTGGGTGTGTTCACACTTCAGTTCTCTTGCTTCTCTTGCCCCGCACTAAAAAGAAAATAGTACAGTTAGTCCTGGTTCACTTAGCATTCACACTGTAACACCCACATTTAATCTCACATTCACTTTTTTAACACCCGACCCAACCTAAAGATTAAAAAAAAAAAACCTGGTTTTAAGATGCATGTTTTGCGACGGAGCAAAACTGAACATCCAAAACAATGCTGTGTGCTGGGCTAAATTCTTGTTTGGTGCGCACCAGGGTTCAGATGGCAGCGTTCACAGATATTCAAATGAACTGCCAAGTGTGAACACACCCTTAGTCAGTGGCAGTCGACAAACCCACCTGTCTAGCTTAGTTGTTGGTCCTCCTTTCCTCTCAGATCCCAAAAGATGAGCATATTCTACGGTTCCTGCGTGCACGGGACTTCAACATAGATAAGGCACGGGAGATCCTTTGTCAGAGTCTGACGTGGAGGAAGCAGCATCAGGTGGACTACCTGCTGGACACATGGAGCTCTCCTCAGGTGTTGCACGATTTTTACACCGGTGGCTGGCACCACCACGACAAGGGTGAGTGATGTAATGCCCTGTCAGCTAAATGTATTTTTCATTAATGCATAGCCAATACATACCGGCTTAATGATGGGAACAATTTATTCATGACAGTTCATAAAATGTCAGAACTTTCGCACTTTCATGCGAAAGAGACTCAAAATACTCCGTCAATTTTAATCACAGATAAGTGTTATACATCATTCAAAACTGGTTTAGTGTCTACTTTTATTTGTGTACACTCACAATAAAAACAAAATGTTGTGCTTTTCGGAAAATAAAGAAACAAACAGCATTCTGCTGTCTTTCTCTCAGTGAAGTCCATTCTGATACATATCAGAAAATGAACTGTAACTTCAAATACTTGCCACACATATAAATGAGAGATGCTATTTAGAAAGCTTGAAGTGTCTACTTTTAAATGAAGTAATTAATATTGAAGTGATTTTACTTTTGTCCATCCAAGGACGCTAAGTAATGTAGTGATTGGTACTCACATCACCGCTGATGTTGTGATTTTTGGATTACTCGTCACTTAAGGTGTGGTTATGAGTACACCAGATGTATTTCATGAAACTTTTACCTTGGCAGTATGAGAACACCCCCAACAGGAGTCTCTTCAGTCATTTAGATTTAATATAAAGTGGAGGGAGTTGGTCAGCTGATTTATCTGAAAGATTGGTGAGATTGCTAACTTGTAGAGCCTCTTCTGTATTATCAGCACAAGGAAGACACAATTATAATAAAATAAATTTTATTAACAAAAATTAATCAAGTGATTGGAGTGTGGCTATGAAAGAGTTACGTTGTGTTATGGAAAGATAAACTATTGTTTATCTTCTCTGAAACTAATAAGGTAAAGACCTTATCATGCATCTAACAAATAAACAAAAGTTTATTTGTTATTAACTTGCATCAGCTAAATTACCTCTAATGTAAATTAGAAAATTATATACTGATACTAGGCTTGCTACGATAGTCTGTGTTACCTGTGCTCAGAAGTAACACCGGTTACATCTCTTGCCCACCATGGCACCGCCCCCCACTAAACTGAACATGTCTGCTTTTCTACTTAAACAGCCTTCTTGCAGACTGAAAACGATGGGTGAAAGAGCTTTCTCTGTGGCAGCCCCCAGGTTGTGGAATGCACTTCCTTTAACTGTTAGGAATGCTACAACATTAACGAGTTTTAAGAAACTGTTAAAAACCCATCTTTTTTAAGAAGGTGTTTGTGTCTTAATTGGTGTATGTTAATGTATCTTAATTGTTAATGTATTTACTTTGGTACTGTACTTGTAGCGCTTTGGGTACAAGAAAAGCGCAATATAAATAAAATTTATTGTTATTATTATTAATAAATCGTGAGCCGAACGAGACTCGCCGCACAGATCAGCAACAGGAGCCGCTGACTGACAATGTGACTGCGGAATATTTGGTGTCAAAGCGAAATGTAAAAGCGCCTATTTAAGCGAATTTGTCATTGCACTGTTTTGTTGTGTTTTTCATTAAGAATAATAGGCGAATGAACTAACCATTCAAGTAATCCGGCCCAAATTGGCGCTAATTTGAAAAATTCTTGCTCTGTTCTGCTCGCTCCACTCCCGTTGACACGTGTGGCTGTGCACATGTTTGTTTCGTTTTCAAATTAGCACCAATTCAAATTAGCACCAATTCACAAAAATGTGAATGAGATTAAATAAGGTCTTTACCTTATTAGTCTTTACCTTACAACAACAAAACAGTGCTGCTCCACACATTATGAATGCCCATGCAAATGCACGCATTTTACGTTTGCCTTTAAATTGGCGATTTAAAAGCCCCCTTCGGTGATACCAGTATTACCGGTGTTGTCACACGTCGATTAACCGGTGGGAAAATATCCTCACCGTCACATCGCTAACTGATACTATACAACAGTGCCATGGTCTCTGGAAAGAGGTTTGGTAAAGTGATATTTACGTTCCTCATGGTTGAATGAGCAGTCCGATGGCGGTGATGTCTACCACATTGTTGTGCTGGGTGACAATGCAGTGGGGAAAGGAGCTGGGATCCGTTTCAATAGCCTTGAACACAAAGCTCTGTGGGATGCTGATCTACTGGAGCACCAAGGGGTCCTACAATCTGAAACACGCAGATGAAACCCTGAAGTAGGTGCAGAAGGTTCTTAATCTGGAACACGCTGACGATGGTACCTTGAAGTAAAGGTTTACTCTCCTTAGCTTAAACTTGTTGCAAATGTCTTTGTGTGTCTTCTGTCTTTCTGGGCCAGACACTCAGAACTTGGTCAATCCACTTTTATCTCTTTGGCATGGAAACTTAGGACGTTCTGTAGTCGTTGTTACTGTTTCGCTAGAACAAAACTCTGAATGTATTGTTTGTTAATGTTTCTTTTTTCACAGACTGGAGGCTCAGAACGTGGTTGTATCTGTAGATACAGAGCTGTAGACTCGTGGAATCTGTTGTTGTCTCTCTCTGGACGAACCAGAGTCTCAAAACGGTGTATCTGTTGTGTCTCACCTTCGCAGGCCTGAGACTCAGAACTTTCTATCGGTTGCTGCCTTCCCTGCGACAGGCCGCAGGCTCAGAACGTGGTTGATCTGTTACAGTCTCTCCCTTGCTGGCCAGGACTCAGTGATCTGTTTCTGTCTATCCACTTACAGGACAGACTCAGAACGGTATATCTGTTATGCATCAGCTTTGCAGGCCGGGACTCAGAACGGCATATCTGTTATTTCTCATCCTTGGAGGACAGACTTAGAACAAGGAGTGTCTGTTGAAAGGGTACCTTTATCCCTTTCCGATGAGGAGGATATTGCAATTTGGTGCTGCAAAGCAATATTTTTGAAAGGGGGGCGTTGAGGTGTTCTTGGGGTTTGTTTCATGTGAGTTTATATCAAAGATTTACAGGGTGAAACTCGTGACTACATGCAAAAGAAAATGGTCTGCAGCATTCTAACACTGTGTCTACACCGGCGCATCATGCATCACAGTGAACGTACCAAGCGTGCGGATCCAGTGTGTCAGAAATAGAACGTAACAATGTGAACAGAATCACTGATTTTAATGGGTTGCATGTGCTTTTGGCACGACATGTCACGCCATTCGCGACCGGTGTATTAGACAGAGTGTAACCTGCCAGTTTATACCATAGACCAGGGGTCTTCTACATTTTTCAGGGCAAGGACCCCTTAGGCAACAGAGACATGGAGCAGGGACCCCCGATAAAAAATCTGTCAAACAGAGCTATCTATTAACCCTCTGGGGTCGGCTATCGCGCCGGCGCGACGAGCTCACTTTTTTCCATATCAGTGCAAAAGAGACTCAAATTACTCTGTTGATTTTGATCTTAAATATATGTGTTGTACATCATTAGATCCTGTTAAGTGTCTATTTTTTTGTGGATACTCACAATAAAAACAAAGTGTTCTGCTTTTTGTTAAATAAAGAAAAATAAACATGATGCGAATTTTGCCTTCTCTCTGTCAGTGAAGTTCATTCTGAAACGCGTCCGAAAATGAACTGTAAGTAAATACTTGTCACACAGGCACGAAAGATTTTTCGTTATGAAGCTGAAATTCTCTTCTTTTAAATGAAGTAATTTATATAAAAAAACAAATATTCTCAGTTTATGTAATTTGTATGAAAAGAGAGAGATGTCAGTCTTTTTCCTTTCAGCTAATTATAGCGCATGACGTGTTAATGTGACCACGCCCACTGAGAGCGCGCACTATTCAAACGCAAATGTTGAGGCAAGCCATGAAAACGCCCACATCAGCTGGATAAGACCTCCAAAAAGTTACCTCAGAAGTGCTGGTATAGTTTCTTTTCGAGGAGCACGGATCCAGCTGATGAAGTAAGTTTATTCTTAAGTGCTTTGTCCTAATCGCGTTATTGAATAGTGTCTGTAAACTGCACAAAGACTGTTTAAATATGAATTGTTTACATATGTACATCGCATCTGTGCGTTCATTCACGCTCGCTCCTACATTAGTAAACGTTATTTTTATATGAACACATCCAAACTATATTGCTATAGCCTACTGAGATTTGTTCTAATCGCGATATAGAATAGTGTCTGTAATGACAACATTTTGTTGACTAGTTTTGGATAGATTATTAAGTTTTTACTCTAAAATAGACATCAAATAAGCTTTTGTTAGACAGTTTCTGCTCATATGTTAAATATATAGTATGTTATGTCATAAACTAATCAACTGTTATAGTGTTTGTTCCAATGCAAGCTAGGCTATATCAAAATAATGAATCCTGAACTTTGAAATATGTATGATAAAATGTATTGGCCTACTTTAAAAAAGACTTTATAAGAGATTTATGGAAAAAGACAATTTTCTTTTCAAGATGTTTCCAACTCTAACTTTGAACCAATTCTATAACGCCCACATAGCCTATTTGAACAGGATTTGTTTCCAGGTATGACTAAAAATGTGCTTTTGACTTTAATTTATATTTTGATTTTATATATATATATATATATATATATGTGTGTGTGTGTGTGTATATATGTGTATATATATGTATATTGTCCTCGCATTCTTTCTTGTGTAGGGATGGGAATTGATAAGAATTTAACGATTCCGATTCCATTATCGATATTGCTTATCGATTCGATTCCTTATCGATTCTCTTATCGATTCTCATTGGGTGAGGGAATACTTACTTTGCTGATGCAAGTTAATACTTATTCCCTCACCCAATGAGAATCGATAAGAGAATCGATAAGGAATCGAATCGATAAGCAATATCGATAATGGAATCGGAATCGTTAAATTCTTATCAATTCCAAACAAATTGTTTGTTTGTATTAACTCGCTTTAATATCTGATCAGAAGACAGCACAGAGTATTAGGGGTGTGAACCTACACTGGTCTCACGGTTCGGTTCGTTTCGATTACGATTATCATGTCATCGATTCATGCACTGCATCATCAATTTTCAATTTTACTTCAAAAGTGATGTGTGTGTGCGTGTTCGCCTGTTCGGGAAGTTACAGTGACAGA